CCGATTCCGGGGGGCCGGGGGGGGGTGGCCAGCCGGTCGTACAGCCCCTGTCGAGCCATCAGGTCTGCGAAGTTCAGCCCGCAAGCCTTGACCCGTACCAGGACCTCGTCAGGCTTGAGCGCCGGCTTTCCCTTCTTTACCTGCATCTTGACTTTATCATAGCCCCCGTAGCCGGTGAGCACCAGGGCGCGGTAGGTGAACGCCTCCTCCACGAGGACCTTCTCGTTGGCCGTCGCTGGGGTTGCCGCTGCCTCGGCGGCGCCGGCTTCTGCGGGCTCCGTCTTTGGCGCCTCGGCTTTAGGCTCCTCGGTGGGTTTGGTCTCCTGCTTCTGGTCCACGGCGTTTTGCTGCTGGGCAGGTGCGTCCTCTCCAGACATTGTGCACGGAGCTGTGAGACAGTGATGAGTCTAAAAAATACTTAGAGGCTTTTTGTCGTGGACGGGCTCGCTGTTCTGTTGCGTATGCTTGTCTTGCAAATAATAGAAAAAGCGAGAATTAGAGCTTCTTTTTCAGCTGTCTTACATGGAAACACAAACCCGACAAAGTGGGCTGATCAGTGGCCACTGGCTGTCAACGCGCTCTGACAGAGTGTGAGTGGGACGAGACAGAGGCTGGCTGCAAAACACGGCGGTCTGATGAAGCTCAGGGATTGGTGTGTGCGACTGGGTGGGCTTGGCTCTTTGTTTAGGGCTATAAGATAGGCGAAGCCTAGCGCATCCTGATGTGATTTGCAAAAATAGCCCTTGGAGCAAAAAGGCAAAGAATGTCGCCCCAGCAAAACCTTATGCAAAATGTAGTAATACAAGAGGAGAAAGTGGCATGCCAACTAAGGAACCACTTAGACACACTGGGCTACAGATAAAGATTGTTGTAGCTTTAATCATATAAGAGACTAAAAGACAGTGACATACAGTACATTTCAGTCCCACAGCTGTAATGGAAAGTCACTGGCATAGTTCATGAACTTGCTTATTTGTCGCTGTTTACTGCTGCATGTTGAACAGTGCAGTGATGCAACAGTAGCCACGAGAGGAAACGTCTGTTTACGCCGCATATTCTACAGTAGAATTTGCAGGAACTTTGCGCCTGCGTACGGCTTATTGTTGTAACTTCCCTGGAGGCAGCTCAGAGAAATATTAGCTTATTGTGTTGAGGTCATGTCAGGCTTTGATTAAACGATATAACCTGCTTTGTATTATTCAGTGAACTAGAGGGTGAGTTGACCTTTCCACAAAAAAGCTGACGGGATGGGGGCCACTCATAAAATTCATGGCTTTGTTAAAAGTATTTTGGAGTGAGTTTTGGAGATGTGTGAAAAAACCTGTTAACTCCTCCCAAGCAAAGTGGTGTAAATTCGTACACACAATTTTGTTACATACTGTCTGTAGAGCTAAGGGACAGTGTCCATTCAGAGATGGGACCACAGGAGGAGTGGTGAGACACCACGTGGCCATAAAGTAATGCTTAGCACTTCTGAGGCCAAAGTCAGCAGTGTACCACTCAGTATGACACAGGGGCTTAACAATGTACGATGTAGGCATTATTGACCTGCTGTTCTGACACAAGCAAAACGTTACAAATGTTTTTTCCCACCATCCACACTGAATATACATTAGTATGCAGTGGGTGCTGGTATAGTGACTCTTCTCAGCAGCTCTGGTAGGACCAGTTTGCTAATGTACCAGCAAGGTACGGGCAGGAAAATGCCTTAGAGTGAAGGTTTGAGTTTGAAAAAAAAAGGAATAAACATAATGCAAAAGCTTTCCTTATTAGTTTCACAGTGAGGCTAAGAAGAATATTTAACAACATGCTGCCAAAGTGAAGGGTTTGAAATTCACAGGAAACGGCTGTGGTTAAAGGAACACAAGAGGAGGAGGCAGGAACAGAGACACCTGGCGTAGTTTGGGGACTTGCTCTATTGTCTAAGTAGGTTGCTGAAGGCATAATGTTGCTCAGTGGTGTCATTCGACCTGGATAAAATATTGTGTCACCCCTTTGCCAGGCAAATAGAGTGAGTCTAGATGGTCTCCGAGGATGCGTGCATCTGAACCGCAAACACCGATATTTTTATTTCCATTAAATATAAATCTAGAAGAACAAATAATGAGAAATGGAAAAACCCACTATGCTGTCATCATGGATTATGACTGGAGATGTTCACATTTAGCTGCTGTGGTGGTGACTTATCTGCTCATTACTTGAGAGTATTAAGTATTAAATGTTTTATTGCTCTGTTCAGCCTGTTTACTGTCTTAATACACACAGGGAAACTTTACTATTCTTTTATGTTTTATTGTAGTATCCTTGAGCAAGATGCTGAGTCATTTTCAGTGCCACCTTCTCACTAAACAAGTGATTCCCACCTTTTTTGGTTTATGGATGGGCATTTGTATACATGATGTATGGTGTCTGTGGAAATGATATTTGTAAATAAGATGACAATAAGGTTGAATGATAAAGGAATATAGAAAAGAGGTAGGGCCGTATAAGTGCAGACTTCCCCCTACTTCTTTTTGAACATGTACTATTTAGGGGCATGGACATTTAATATATGATGATCTTTGAGAATCAGAGAAACGTTGCTGCTCATTTTAATAATTATTTTTTCCTTTTGCTTATTATTTCTTACATATTTGAAATTAATCTAAGTAATGAAGCAATGTCTACGTGTTGTCCCCAAAGTGTCCTGTTCTCTCCTTAGAATGTTTCATAAACCAACAAAGATTAGAGAAAAATCAAGAACACTAATTTTCTTTTGTGAAGCAGAGATATTTTTATTTGTTATGTGTGACTCATGTTTTGATTGGGAGGTCCAGAACCTAGAGGTAGTAGGAGTCATTGTAGGCCTACTCAGACTTTCTTGACATGAAGTAAAAATTGAAGCTTTGTTTCTGAAAAGTATTTGTTTGTACCTTAGTGCCTTAGTTTTATTTTCTTCTATCACCAGACTTCCTCTTGTGAGTGTTAAAGAAAATCACAGGTTGGTCTCGGGGTTAGGGTGACCATAGCTGCTCTACTGTTAACTGTGCAATCTTCTAACTTTGATATGACACATGCATATGCTAGAGTCATCTGTAGATGTTAAATTAAAATAGTACATTTGGAAGAACTTTTGTTAATTTCACATTAAAGTATATCGGATTAATCAATTCTGTCTGGCCATTTACAGAAATGGACAGCTTAGCAACAAATACTGCCAGGGCAGCAGTGTTCTGCTTTGTCACTGGCCATAAATCAGCATGATTGTGTTGAACTGGTTTGTGATAGGAGAAGCTCTGATGGGTATACTGTTCAATCAGTGCACTCCTTATACATGCATTAATAAAGCAGAAAAACTGGCCGAATCAGTGAATATAGCATAGTATTAAATAGGAGATGTATAATGTACAGCATATGTACCCTTTTATACTTTTTCTTACATGTACCCAGGTATCAGATGACTTTGTGCTGGTCTCTGCATGGGTGAAAAGAAATTTCTAATGTATTTAAGACAGTTTCTTGTAAGAACTAGAGATTTCTGTTCAGGTAACTTATGAAAGACCAAAATATAATTTAGTTAATGTGCCACAAGTTCTGGACAGTCCTAAGCTAAAATATACAAAAGCTTGCTCAGGTCAATGAATACATACTGCCACCTGCTGTTGTGTCGACCACAAGACAGACAGTTGTCAAAGACCCTACAATCATTATTTCTTCACTTATCCCCAAATAGTATCTAGCAATGCAGATATTTTTGGTTTTACTTGCCATGGGTTTGAGATTTCTGTCTCAGAATTTTGCCACTGCCCCTTAACAGTGGAGGTGAATGGGATTTTGGTTTTGCAGCCTTTGACATTAAACAGTTGAAACTGCAAACTCAGTAGCAATAAGTCACTGTATACATAATGCACAAAAAGCCTACAACTCTGGAATGATACAGATATGAACCTGACAAATTACTTCTTTGATTTAAATATGAGGACTCATACTGTAAGTCATACTTATTGTAGCCTATTGATTTTACAATAATATTTTTTTCTGTCTATCACTCTGTTTTATTATTAGGCGCTCATTAAATGTCACAGGCTGCAGTGGATGGATATCAAACGCAGCAGTTTGATTTATTTTGACATTTAAGATTTTATTTTTAAAAAATGTTGCAAAAGTGAGAGATCCAGTCCTCAATAAACTAAAAATAATTCCTGGTACAGTCAATTTTGTTGTTGCTTGAGCTCGAAACAAAGACTCAATTGAGTTTTCAAAAGGTCCTACATAGTCTCACCATCCAAACCTGCTTCAAATCTACTGATAATAGAGGATATACAGTAATCTCTGCCATTTCATTTACTCATTCTGTCAAATTAGGAGATTTTGCTTCATTCTTGTGCCTTAATATAGTTTTAGAGGTAGTAATACTTAGTAATGCACATTTGAATATATTTACTATAGTATTGGAGCTGTGTGCTATTCCCACAGCCAACCCTAACATGCACTGTGTGGTTGTGTCGGACTCTGAACCCAGATGCCCAGCCAAAAGATCCACAGCAGGTCACTCTGGGAGCATGTGAAGATGTCATGTTGTGCTACTGTTTCTCTCTCTCTGCTTCACTCCAAGCTGTTCACTCATAGGTGAAGGCTGCTCACACTGATCCAGCGACTGGGTCTTTACACCCAATGAAGCCTGGTGACTGGGTGCTGATTGAGGACCACAGATGGAAGCACTGGAAGCAGAGGAGATAGTGGGGTCCATTCCAAGTGCTGCTGACAACCGACACCACAGTGAAAAAAGCAGGATGATCTACTTGAACACAAACCAATCACTGTAAAAAGATTGCTGAGCCATATGATGACTACCATGGATCATCCATGGATTATCATGGGCTCCCAGATGGTTTTAACTGGGAATCAGTGGGCACCCAAACAGCCTTCTATGTGGCAATGTTACACATTTCAAGATCACCACTAGCTTGGATTGTAGATGTGTGCATCTGTAAAACATTATGAAATATACAAAGTTTGTGTTATTATGTTGACACATGCCACACTGCCTGTAAACAAACCTATAGTTTTCACCCAAGGTGTGTGAGAGTCAACCACTAGGTTTTTGAGAGAATGACCTCTGACTGTAAACACTACTCCCCCAACTTTAAAAGTCTTGTAAGACCTATTTATTTTTGCTGTAAACAATGTTATTAAAACCTAACCCCACTAGGTTTGGTGGTTAGTCTGTGGTGCACGGCTAAATGAAAATGTATGAATGTAAGTCCAGTTATTATTCATTCTTTTTTCAAATTTAATTCAAATCATATGTGCATCTTATAATGACATAGTTGCAAACACACTTAAAATTTTTTTTTTTATTTGTTTGTTTTTTTTACAGTGGAAGAAAACTGGAGTACCCGCAGTAAAACCACACAAAGGAAGGGACAGTGTCCTCATGGAAAGGACTACTGGGAATAACAATAATGTGAATTTTCATAAAGGAGCAGGTTGGTCTCAGCTCTCCCTCGGATCAGGTCTCTCTGTTTTGGAGTGTTTGAATTTATGCATATCAGATTTGGGTAGGGTTTTGATGAGCATGTTTCAGGGCAGGTCCAATAGTTCAAATATTTAAAATTAGCGTCTAGAGGAGGGGAACGAGCTGGTTAGTGCAAGGTTGGAATAAAAGAGGCTGGTCTTTTAGGTTTTGAATGTATTTCGAATGGGTGGGAGGCGGGTGTTTGAGGGTGCTGCAGAGGCCTGCTGGGGCTTACGTACTGCAGATGCATAGGAGCCCGGGTTCTGTCGCAGGTCAATGATCTCTTTGTGTACATAGTGCTGCTGTTTAAAATTCAGAGTTTTAATCTGAGAACATCTGGACAGCAGCCTTCCGGTACCAGCAGAGACATAGTTTGACCCACCTGAGAACGTCTGGACAGCAGCTTTCTGGTGCCAGCAGAGACATAGTTTGACCTGTGGTCCTTTGCAGCTGAGGAGTTCTTATCGGCTCTGGGAACGGCCGGGGTCATGACTGGCTTTGGGTGGAGAATATACTTTTCATTTTGTCTGATCAGCAGGTTCTGGAATTTCGAATTCTCTGCTGCCTTGTTAATTTCTTCCTGAGCGTACTGCTGGAGCTGTTTCCTTCTCTCAGCAGTCTGTGCAATATTCTTCAGCTCAGCCTCATATTCCTCCATTTTAAGCTGTTCCTCGTGCATTCATTTTTCCTCCATGATGGTCTCATTGATGCGACGAACCATCATGTTGTTTTCCCTGAGGCTCTGAGCTTTTTCTTTTTGTCGTTCTAGAAACAACCTGTCAGACTCCTGAGACCTTCTGCTCTCTCGCTCTGCTTTCACCCTCTGCTCTTTCTCTTGAATCACTGCCTCTCTGTGAGCAGAAATGGACTTGAGCATTGCAGCCCTCTGCTCCTCTTTCTGCTTCTGCTCCTTTGCTAGTTTAGCCTCTTTTTTGGCCAAAGCCTTAGACAATGCCATCTCACTTGCAGCTGTAGCAGCAGCTTCCTGCTTCTTCTTTAGGGCGGCCAAATTGTCCGACACAGTTTGTACTGCTATCTGATGCTTTCTGAACTTTTCTGCTTGGTCATTTTTGCGTTGCTGCAGCTTTTGTTCTATGTCACAGTGAACATGCATTATTTCTTTTTCCTCCTCCTCCAGTTTCCGTGCCTCCATTTCTCTGTGGAGCTTTTTATTGGCGATGTCCTCCAATGTACTTTTCAAGCACCTTAGTTTTGGTTCCTGTTTATCTCTTGGTTGCTCTGTGTGCAGTTCGTTGAAGCTCTGCTTCTCCAGCTGAATCTCTTTCTTTCTCAGCTGCTGCTTCTCTTTCACTTGCTGAAGATTAAAAGCATCCAAAGTTTGTTTGGCAAGCCGCCTTTGACAAGCATTCTCCTGCTTCTGTCTTTGCTCTTGCCTCAGAGCTTCTTCGTGTTCACGGCTTATCTCTTTCTTCTGTCTTTTTTCTTCCTCGATCCTCTGTCGGGTTCGGTTGATTTTAATCAGAACCTCATTCTCTTTCGTCGCCTGTATCACTTGGAGGACACTGTTGAATTGTCGGGCACGGTCGTCCTGTAGGAGCCTCATAAAATTGCTCCTTTCAATTGTTTGCTGTCGCTCCTGTTCTTTAAATTCGGCCTCCTCTGCAACAAGCCTGTCCCAGTATTCCTCGTTTGCCTGCTTCTGTTTTTCCACTAAACTTGGCTTTTGTGCCAGGGGTTTCATTAAACGTTTCCTTGCCCTGCCAAACTCACGCTGAGCATTAATGTCGACCACTTCCTGCCTGGTGTACACTTTGGGCTTAGGCTGGTTTAACAAAGACTGGATTCTTTCCCAGTCGGCACTGGGTAAAACTATTTCTTGTGTTTTATCCATTAAATTATTTGGTCTAAATTCCTGCAATGCAATATATATATATATATATATATATATATGCTGTGTTAATTTGCTCTGAATGTCAGTGCTGTAACTCTCTCTGCTGCTCTGTGTGTTCTGTGCTACAGTTGTGCTCTGCTCTGGTAGGTAGAACAGGCTGATGATGTCATCATTCCTTTGATGTCTGCATCATTTGAATTGACCCAGGGCAACTTCCTGTACTGGGAAATTAAAAAAACAAAACAATTCCCCATAAACAGTTTAACTCACTGGTTAACGCTATTCCTAATGGTCTTATTTGATTAATGACATTTTATTTGAGCTTTACAAAAGATTTTACTGTAGCAGAGAATTTTATACAGAGAAACAAAAAGAGAGCATTGTTTTTTTCTGGGTGAGATCACTCCTTGTAACAGCTGTGTTGTCTAGTCAGGACTGTATTTACCTGATGGGACCCCAGGGTATGAACAAGCTCTCAGCTTAAATTGTGTATTGTTTACAATAGAGGGGCAAGAGACTTAAGTAAAATACACCAATAGGAACATTTATTGGCCTTCCTACACCAAGACAGATTCAACAACACACAGCAATGTATCAAATTAAACAAGACAATACCATGTCTGGCCCCCACCCTCTCCCCACAGTTGTTAATATGCACAAAGAACACACAGAAGAAGAAATACACAGATGCGAATTTTGAAGGCTACTCATAAAGGTTTCTTTTTAGAGGTGGGACTACCCGCCCCCATCATCATCAGTCACCATTTGCAAAGCACCACACAGGAAAACAAAGATGCATAATATTCACATGTGGAATGTGCAATGAGTAATTTAGCCTGACATTCCCAATCATAACAAGCACAAGGAACTTTGTGTCTTGTAACCCTTCATTGAGCTGTATGTCAATAAAATCTGACATCTCAACACCAAAATAAGCCCAGAAGCCAGCATGCTTTAAAATATGTAAACATTTTATTTATAAGCATACAATTTTTGGATTAATAAAACACTTGGATTTCAATGGAAATAAGAACAAAGAAAGGTTCAACTCACTGAACTCCAGATAAATATTGATGTCAAAAATTAATAAAACTTCATTTACACAATTAGAAATTAAGAAAACTGTTTGTCCTTTATTTATGCTATTCCAAGATCTAGACTTGTACATACAGTTACAGTATGTCATACTTAAAGATGCTTCTCGTCAGACCACATTCACAAGACAGCTGAAGCTAAACATTACCATACATGCTACAGTATATTCAACCTATGTTAAGGTTTCAATAACAAACTGAGGTTCTCCTGCTTAGGTTCAGACAGTTCAGAATCCTCATCTTGGGAGTTTCACACCAGTTCACCTTGGAGATGCTTGTTAGCATGTTAAGAAAACAAAGCCAACATCTGACTGACATGACCTTGGTGTTTCAGCTTGGTCACACCGGAAACAGTTAAATGAATCAGCTTTGCAAAATAGAAGTTTGGTAGTGTAGTGACTATACTATCAAGGCTAATTGGTGAACTGCTGTAGTTAGCGTGCCAACTGCTAACTCTGGCGCTAGCCCAGTTAAGTGGAGGTTCTCTTCTTTTTCTGCTACTGTTCTGTTAACTCCCCCCTGGTATTTTGTTCACCACTGCACATGTTTCTGTTCAATACAATCATTACTGAAAGGGGAAAATAAAGCTCTAGGAGCTAATGCTAACAGTTAATGTTGTGAAATCTCTGGCTCTCTGTCCTTTCAAAGGTCAGCCCTGTCAGTACAGTTTGGGTAATAGCTAATTGGTAGGAAAACGTTCAAAGTTGAGCATTTGCACTAATCTGCCCCAGTGAGCAAATCAACTAACAATTCTACTAAAAAGAATTATAATTGTTGTAACCCTTTTAAATCCAGCCTTATGCCTGGTTCAGACTAGACAATTTTTTTTTGTCTGGTCACTATGTGAGATTACATAAATTCCTGGAGGAGGGATATGACAGATTACACTTTGGTACCAGACAGATCACATCCTGCCATCATCCATGATTTGGAGGTGCCAGGGACGGGGAGGATATAAACACAGAATAGCACCCGTGGTGTGTGAGATGCTGGCTGCTTGTGTTCAGAAAAGCACAAATAAACATACAAAAAAAAAAAAAATTCAACCATGAACCTGTGTTGGGTGATACAAAAAGGCAGTAGCCTATGTATTGTCTATCCATCACAGAGAACTTGAAGAGCAGTTAAAAAGCTGTTTTTTATGGCAACAGTAAAACCAAAAACTAGCCAGCTAGCCCTGTAGGGTAGCTCCTTCACAAGGCTGACTGAAAGTCAATATGCTAACATTAGCTGTAACACTAATGTTTAATGAATATGGCTCAGTCCAATATACCAAAATTGTGCAAGGAGATCAGCGCTCTCTTCTCCTATTGATCAGCATTGCCCTAAAATGTCAGACGTTGAAAAAAGAAAAAGAAACAAAAAAAAAACAACTTTGTGGCTTCACATGTGCAACCTCGGTTGTCATTGATAACCATACTAGACAAGATGACTAAACTATACAAGATAAAATGATTGTCATGTCCGACAGCGTTTGTTGGTAATGACGCCCAAGACCATCTGGTCGTCAGGCTGTTACCGGGCTTAAATCATGTAGTCTGAACTAGGCATTAGACAAACACAAAGGCAACATTCAAAGCCATTACAGGCACTATCAACTAACAAGAGCACTTTTAATACTTAGGTCAAAGGCAATCTCACTGTAAAATACAGGGTTATTAGACATGTCAAAAACAGTAGCAGTACGGCAGTCAAACACTATGCATCACACAGTTTACAAATACATAACCATGACTCTGGAAGTAGCATTAAAAATAGTACATGCTAAATGCAAAGCAAGCACATATTCTGGCTTTTTAGAGAGCAGAAGAAGAAACTCTCAAATTAACATGAGAAGAAAATATATACTGTACATGAATATTTGTATCTGTGACACTGGACTGGAATGTTTGGAACCTGACAAAGTTCAGTCGTCTCTTAACTCCACAAAGGAACAATGCAGAAAAGGTGATAAGCACAAAGCAACTCTTGCAAGAACATATAAATATGAATGAAAGCAAATAAGGTGCGGCACGTGCACTAACACCACCAGAATTAAATTATATCATCAGTTCAGCCAAGACAATCACTGAAAGCATGGTTGTGGGGGAGTTCTATAAACCATCATAAAAATAAGTTACCCTGTTTGTTGGCCTATTCAAAAAGGAGCATCCAAAAAAAGACAAAGGTCATAAAAAAGGTCAGAATTCCATGAGTACTACTAATCAAAAAAGTGTTTGTCAAAAATAAAAAAAAGAATAATTAATCACGGCTTGAAGAATGTTAAAGTGTGTGTTAGTCTATCAGTTTTTCCATGACATCCTCTACCTTTCTCCAACTACAACCTTATAACAAACTAAGCCTCAACCTAAAGAATGCAACATTGCAAATAAGAAAACAATAATGAAATAAGTGTATGTACATGATAGTAACAGAAGTGGAAAGAGACAGATTGTAGAGACGCAGTATTATGGGCGCAGTTGTGGGTGGTCCTCAGGGAGGTGGGTACTGGTGCTGGGCTGCTCCACACAGCTAAATGGCTGCTACAGAAATAGATACATTAGTTAGACATGAAACTGAACACTCAATAAAACTATGCACAACAATCAGTTTTACTTTCATAGCAAGAAAAACCTTGCAATGAATAACGACAACTCATCCATTCAAATCATGACAGTAATCAGCATTAAGTGGCACACCTAGCCAGAGTGCAGTCATTAAGGATGTTAATTAATACAAAAGTAGGCAGAGAGACTCACACCTGAACCGACAGTTCAACTAACAACTAACAATTTAATTTCTAGTCGTTATACTCCAACTGACACTTTGTCCGCTAACAATTTGACACCTCAACTCTTAATTACATACATTTCAACTGACACTTCAACAAGTGCTTCAAGTGCATGTGTTACGTTCACAGAAGAGTGCCCCTGACTGGAAAATTAGCACCACCAACTGTTTACATCAACAATCCAAATCCTAATATTTCAATAACAAAATTGGATGAAAATACACTATAATTTTCATTTTCTTTTGCAAACTGAAATTCATTTAAAATGTGTGCAACATTTAGATGGAAACTCACTTCCTAACTCCTTTCAATAGTGATAATAGCTGAGACTGAGTCTGAATATGAGAGACAACTCTTGACACTAATGCAAGACATCACTGTTTCTCCATTTTCATCTGCAGGAACTTTTTTTTAAAGATTTTATATAATTTATTCACTACAAGCAGAGCACTGAGGGAGTTGGAGTGGCTTACGGAGCATCTATGGAAGAGAAATTCTAATTAATTAATGCCATTGCAGTTCTTTGTGCTGTTCACTTTCGACAACACCGGCAACAGGAGCTGTGCACATTCACAAACTGTCCTCTCATTTTAAGGAAGAGGCTTTTTGGCTCTCTGATTCCGAAACAATTACAATCTATTTGGAGTTATGAGGGGCGCCAAGCTAATCTAGAGGTACCCAAGATTAAACATTAAATGGCTGGAAATGAGCAAAATGAGCATGACATGGGCTCTTTAATGTTACTTCAAACTACCATACTTAGATTTTACCATACTTAGAGTATGGCGTTGAAAACTGGGGAAATACATACAAAAGCTCACTTCAACCATTGTATATATTACAAAAAAGAGCGATAAGAATTATGCATAAGATGGGGTACAGGGATCACACCATTAGAGCTTTCATACAGTCTAAATTATTAAAATTTTTTGATTTAGTGGGATATAAGACTGCTGTGTTTATGTATAAAACCAGGAACAATTTATTACCTGGTGGAATTCAAAAACTATTTAATGAAAGGGAAGGGGGATACAATTTAAGGGGTCAGTTAAATTTAAAAATTCATGCTATACGTACAACCAAAAAAAGATTTTGTATTTCCATAAGTGGGGTAAAACTATGGAATAATTTAAGTGCGGACATAAAAAATAGTAATAGAATTGACGAGTTTAAACATAAATATAAAGGTATGTGTCAATCAAGATATATGCAAGAACAGGCTCAATGATTAATTATATGGAACATTGTGGGTGTGGTGTATGAATGTTAACACTTTGTAATAATTTTTTAGTATATTACTTGTGTGGTGTAGAAGAGAATTATTTATGTGGAGATACTGCTTGCAAACCAATGATGGTACGATGATGTCATGGGGTAGGACTGGATAAGTCTGACTTCTTCCTACTCCATTCCAGCATGTACTAGGTATAAGCAAATTGATATTGGATTATGTGTAAAATTATGTGTGTTGTCATAGCAACTGTTTCTACATGCTTGAAAGAATAAATCAAATCAAACCAAACCAAACTACCATCGTCTCTCTTCTTTCTCCCTCTTGCCTCAATCAGGTGTCTCCACTTCTTGTATCTATTGTTTCAAACTAAATGCCTTAAGAAATGTTGTGTAATTGTATCATGATATTTCATACAATTCTGAAGCACCAGCTGCAATAATTTTGCAGTGAGCTGCTGCTGCAAAATGAATATGGCAAAAATACTTTATGTTCATCACCTAACAGCTGTTTGGTGATGTCCACCATGGCACAAAAGTGATGAGAGCTGTATGAGTCAAACAAAAGTTATGTTGTGGGCTGTAAGGCTGAAGATAAAACATCAAGTAGAAAAGAGGGGATCTGCAGAGTTAGTAATACTTTGTAGGGCTGTTATTACATGCCATCCCTTTTCATAGACGGTCATGTGATCCACTGTTTATTTAAAAATAATGATTAAAGCTACTTTAAAAAGGAGGTTAAGACATAAGTCTAGATAAACTTATAATAAAGACAAGCAGGGTTTATAGCAGATTTTAAAGCACACACCCCTGAAGATGATAATCTGGCAAAAGAGCTTAATGATGACTTAAATGTCAGTAGGACCTTTAATGAAAGGCTGGTGTCAGTCTGGTATATTGATGTATCAGTCTAAGCCGGGAGGAGACAGAGGAGAGGAGACCCTGGCAGGATACAGATGCTTAAACACTGGGAAGGACAGATATACCTTCTGTGTGTTTAGTCTGCTTGCTGTCTGTGACCATGGCAAGGCTCCAGTTCACTAATAAAAGACCTGCGCTTACAATCCTCAACAGGACATGTAAATGTATTGAGGCACTAAGCAGGAATTTGTAATGCGTCTGTCTGTACAGGAGTAAGGCAATGCTTTATCCCTCCACAGGTGTCCATGGCCTCAAACATGTTGCCAAGCACAACATTCCCAACAGATAAAATGCCGTCTATGCTACAGTGTACACTGAGCCCTTTACAGCATTTATACAAAGTACTTCTCAGTAGGATTTGGGTCCAGCACATCCTAGGATGACAAGAAGAAATGAGCTTGAGAACAGAAATTGAAATGATTGCTGGGACAGTTGTGAGCCATTATATATAAAAGCCATCTGTGGTTTACAACCATAATTTGCTGTCATACACTGTATTAGCATCCATACAAAAAAGGTGTGCTGTGGGATAGTAAAGTAAGTGCCATGGAATGATACAGTAAATGGCAAAAACTGCTCTCAATGATGAAGCACACTGAGGAAGAGGATATCTTCTTTGTTGGAAAACATTTCCCAGAAAGGCTTTCCTTTCAAATAACACAGCCTCATATTTGAATCATTTTTAGTGACTTGCTGTATGACTTGGTTTAAGCCCTTTTTGCCAGTATAGTAAAATTAACTGACAAGAAGAAAGATTGGAAACACTTGAAACAAAAGGTAATGTTTGAGGTTTATGCTGACAGTTGAGATGTTCTGCATCAAGGTCACACTGAATAATTTTTAACCAATTACACTGCAGGTATAGTAAAATCTAATGGGGCCCTGTGTTACTGTCTAAGTTGAGCATGGCTCTAACATTATACCCAGTGTACACTGAGTGAGTCACAGGAGCAGCATCTTAAGTGAATGTAACCAGTGTAGACAGACTTCAGGTTCCATTTAGTCCATTTGCATGAAAGTTTAAACTCAAGGTCTATAATCTTTCAGTTAGATCATAGTTATGACACTCACTCTGTCTACCTAGATTTACTTCCTTCAATCCTTTTCCCTCACTCCCTGTCCTGCCTCTTAAAACAAAATACGGACACATCTTTATAAATATAAAACCTTCGCTAGGATCCATACTCACATTTAGCGGACATAAAAGAACTAGCAGCGACAAAGGTTGACATCTGACTGGCTCACGTCGCCTTTGTCTGGGCCAGTCGGGTTGAACACACTGCACAGACTACAGTTAACAGCCAACTAGCATGTGTGGTCTGTGCCTGTGTGACAGAAATAACTCCCCTACCAACAGATGGCGGTATCTGTATTCACCATTCTGAAAGGGCAACAAGAAGAGCTAGCATGCAAGTGTAACCTATAAAAAAACAAAAAAACAAAAAAAAGCACCTCTCATTCTAAATAGCTGCTGCTTGTATCTGCTTCCATATATGTCTGATAAGTTGCAAATGGCACTGCCATTCTCTGCCCTTGGTCTTTTGGTTGTGGAAGAAAAAAAAGGAAGTTGTGGAGGCAAAAAAAAAAAAACAAAAAAAAACAAGGAGAAACCACACTAAATAGGTGAAATCATGGATACTACTATGACAGACTGAAGGGGCTTTCCTGAACCATTCTCTTCTCATGCACGGAGCTCAACAGCCCAATGAGGCCCAACCATCGACGCAGACTCAACATGTCAAATCTGCCGAAAAGCTGCTGCCGGAGGCCAACTAGTGCCAACGGTGTGGGACACACTGGGAAGACAATCCCTGACAGATGCTCACTAACGGGCCAACAATAGTCAACAGCTGACCATCAGCTTAGTGTGTCTCAGCCATAAGAGAAAAAAATAATTATTTTCAAGAGTTGTGACAAAGCACCAGTCACCGATATGACGAGGCCTGCTGAAAGTGGGAGTAAATTTGAGCATAGAAGTCACCAAGCTTCATCAAAGCCACTTTCTCAAAGGTATTAATGGATAAAAACATGTCAAGTGGCTGGTTAAAATCTTAGCCACTGTAAAGGTATGAAATCTACTGCATTGTAGGTACTCAGTGCTAACAAAACAGTCGTTACTGTACTCTGCTGCTTTCATCTCTTAAAATATTTTTGTAAATCCAATATGCTTACTCTTAACAATCCTTCACATTAACAATGTCAAATGTGTAAACTATTTGATGCAGTGTGCTAAATGTATCATTACAAATGCAAGACATGTAATGACGCTTTTAAATGTAAATGTAACACGTGGTTCCATTTGCGCCACTACTTGTGTTGCGAGTATGAGTCTGATCTCTATAACATTACGGCTATAACTCTTGCTTCCTAGTTTGTGTTTCAGGCACCAGTAACACTTTCAACTCTCCCACTTCCTCAGGTATGACATGAATGAGGTAGAAGCCTGGTAACCAGCAACATAAAGAAGGAAATGGACTGTTTTGACCAAAATTTGATAGGTGATTGTTACTTCTTAAAGACCTAACTACAGTAAATGTACTGTTGGCTCTGGTTCAGCTTTCACCGCACCAGACAGTGAAGTCATCCAGCAAAGGCGCTGCATTGACCAATCATGTACAGGGGACAATGAAGACATGGTCGCCCACTGGAGGACGACTCCTTTGTTTACCTTGTTAGCATGAGCATTCAAAAACTTGGGCCGCAATTAATGCACCATAATGATACGCCATGCACTGTCATTAGAACTGGATGTTAAATGGTGTTTTGATCCATCAATGCTGACACACTGGTGGTAGAATTAGTGCTAAGGTGGAGTAGGCTATGTTAGCTGCATGGCCAACCAAAACACAATGGAAAGTCCTAGGCTGTAGACTTGAATGAAGCCACTCACTTTGACTCATCACAATGTGGCCGGATCATCCCTACAACACTTCACCACCCTGACTAACACAGCACCTTAGTTAAACACAATTCAAGAGGCTTTAAACAGTGATGTGAGATTTCTCTTTAAGTGCAGAGGAGGCATTCTACATGTGAACAGCAGGCAGTGGAGCACATTAGGAATAAATCCTCTTTAACCCGCTTTTTGACTTGAGCTCTTTTGGTTGCAGTATTGCCCAAACATTAAGAAAAGTGCATTTCATAGTTAGAAAATGTATTTGTACACTTAAAAACCTCGTTTGTGTTTTTACTAAGAATGTTAAAGTCCTTGTTATAAAATGGTAATTATGAGACTCACTGTGCCAGCTTTTATCTAGTCAGGCTTCTGTCTTCAAAGATGGTGACCTCGATCTTAATAGGAATCAGTGAAGAAAAACATTTGGAGCTCTGGGTTCGTTTTACCTTCAGTTGAATCCAACCGACACTTGAAGCCTCTTCATCGTTTACATGAGTATAAATAAAGACACTGCAAAAGCTGCGCCCATTTTTTTCAGTGATAACCCCCCCCCCCTTTTTTTTTTTATTTTCTCCCCCCCCGCATTTATCTATTTCAGCTTTTGAGTTTATAGTCACCATGAAAGTGGAAGCTATTAAGCCAGGCTAACTAGTTGCCACTCAGAAAGTGGGAACTATTTAGTTTAGCGTTCTATTACATAAATTTTCACTAAATGTTACTTCTTATGTTTACACCTGCAGCTCCCACACAGCGTTGTTTCCCTCTCACACTGTAGACAGAAGCTAGCTTTAACTAGACTAAAAATCTGGACCTGGAATAAAACCCTTCTCAGCAGTATGTTGCATGGTGTGTTTGATACTGTACAGAGGTATTCCCATTATAGGATTCTACTGTAACATGCTGAGCCAAGTAAAACTTGTCATGGGTTCTGCATTTGTTACCACTGCTGTGCACCCAGTTTGGAGGTGCGCACTGGGAGCTACATTTCAGCACCCCTCAAGAGGTACTACTAAAATCAAATTAAAGGAATGCAAGTGGGGAGGGGGTGTGTGCAGTGCAGTCACCTTTGACTGGTTAAATTTCTGCATCTTCACACCTCAAGAATTAGCATTATAAGCACATTGTGTAAAGAGACACTTGTAGTGGTTTAGAGGTAAAATGAGGACTTCGGTGACTTCTAAACAGTCACCAACACAGATGAAATACAGTAGAAAGACAAAGCAGGATGGTCCATCTCAGCTTGGGAGGCTGTGCAGGTTGAAGTACAAGGGTATACCGCTTGTTAGTGGAAATGCAGCATATGTTTAAATATCGATGGTCGATTTTTTTGAAAAACATCTCATGCTGTTGCCTTTCAATATTCATGTTTTTAGTGGCCTTTTAACAAAACAATTTACCATAAGCCCAAGATGTCTGGAAATGATGCAAGTCAGTGAAGGGATTGCGGCTAGCGTGTTTTAACCCTAAGGGCTGCTGGTCCTAGCTATATATAGTACAGATTATACAGAGTCAGAGGTCTCTAGCTTTAAGTACTCTGTTTTATCCCTATTTATCTCATTTCAGTGAACATTCCTTGTTGTCTGCATTGTCTGTCTGTTTATACTGCTTTTTCTGCATTGTTTGCACTGTTTGTTGATGTTAATACTGCTATTTTGTTGTATTACACAGCCTTATGCTGGTTTACTGTTTTGCACATTGAGAGCCGCTGTACCAGAGTCAAATTCCTCGTGTGTCCATCACACCTGGCCAATAAAGCTGATTCGGATCAGTTACAGGGACATTAGCAGCAGGGATAGAAGGCCTGTAAATCACTACATCTATTAGGTGACCATAAAAGCTCCTTGCTCTACTTAACGCTGTCATGCAATCACAGTCACTTTTCCTGATTTTAGGGTATGTTTAACAAGTTAAACCAAGCCAAAATGTTCAACATAAATACCAGTCTTCTTTCCTGTATGTGCTCATTTATTATTAAATAAACAATGCGGACTGTCAGTCAAAGATAAGCGATAGTCTACCTGAAAGAAGAAGAAAAAAATTGCACTTTTTGGCTACAACAAACACTGAAGTGAAGGATACGACTCGCAAGCCTCTCTCAATGGGGTCGGTGAGCAGGAGGCCTCGTGGTGCGTAGATCTTGTCATTCTGCTCCTGAATGTACTTTGCAATCTTCTTCAAAACCTACAAGGGCACAACAACAATTTCACTCTTCTCATCGACACCAATCCAACAGTAGTCCATAATTTTCACAAATAATGTATATGTATAATCTTGACAATTTAAGACCCTGAATCATATATTTCAGTCTTTTAGGGGAAACACGGGTCAAACAGTGCAAGTACTGTACATTCTCTTGGTTCTCATTTAAACAATACTGTCCAATTAATATTCTACCCTGTGCATTGTGCTTTTTAAGGCTTCTCATATGGCATAGCAAACATACTACAATGTTTACTCTGTCAGAAAGAAACTGGGTTTAATATAAAGCTGTTAAAATTGATGGACTAGTGTTTATATTTTTAGAAAAAGCACAACAGTGATGACAAAAGGGATAATCCTGACACTTTCATCATTTGGCCTTAATCTAATAAACTGAGCAACCTATATCCGTTAGTTTAATAATGCATAACTTTCTTTTTTTCCCATAGCTGTCTGATTTTCCACTGTCTACTACACAAAGTACTGACACTCAGCCTGCTTAAACCAGCCTGCAGAATGATGGAAAAAATGATGCCTGAAGGGTTTATTATGACTGACAAGACATCTTTCTGCATATATTATCCAAATACAAGACCTGCACTAACACACACAGACTGTGGAGATACCTGAAAATGTCAGATCACAGATGCTTCCCATTCAAATTGATGATGCTCGAGAGGATCTGCCAGGAACAATGAGATAAACTGCCCAAATCCAGGTAAGTGGAGCTTACTCAAAACAAAGTATTGAATACCCTCAGTTTTTGACTTTGATTACATTTGCAAAAAATGTCTAAAAGCAGGTTTTCGCTTTGTCCTTATAGGTTAGTGAGCGTAGAATGACCAGAAAAAATTGGGAATTTTGTCCATTTAAAATATTTCTACAACTCAATCATGAAATAACACAATAGCAAAAACATCATGGGATCTGAGTATTTTCTGAAGCCACTGCAAGTCGGTACTCAATGTCTGGTCATATCACAACAGTCAGAACTGCCGTTTCAAACTGAAACACTATCTTTGTGGTGACCGGAAGTCACTTTTGGGGACCAGCCTCTGGTCCATAGTTTGTCACATTTTATGAAACCAATGAGGTGTAAGGTTAAAGCAAGTGCAGGCTTTGGTTAAGTGTTAGGCAAGTAGAAGTTCTGATTAAGGTTAGGGTAAGTGTCCTGGAAATTATGCAAGTCTATGTAGGGACCCTATAAGTGACAAACATTTTGCTTTGGCTTAGTAAGGCTGTGAAGCAGGTTTTTGCAACTCCCAGCACTAACCCCACAGGAAGTGTGGGCGCACCCATTTGTGCTATGGCTGGAGCTCGGTTTACCTCAAAAAGTACTTAAGTTCAATACACAGCTGCATTCATTATTTTTTTCAGAAATCTGCACACTGTCGCTCACCTTCTCATAGTGAGTCTCCATACACAGGAAGATGGTGTACGCTGTGAGGCAAGCCAGACAGCCCTCAATATATGACTGGCTCCCAAGCTTCTCAGCTTCAGCATACAGGTTATTCAGCGTCCGCACCGTCTCCTCAAACTGCTGTTTTTCAATCTGAAAGGCATGGAAACACAAAGAAAGATCATAGGGTTCAGATCGCAAGAGCATGCTGACCATACTTCTGTCGCTGCTGGGATTTTGGTCTTAGCACCAGATCAGTTCCTCCCATCCTTTCCATCTCTAGACAAATGAAGGGCTGAAATTTATTGGACTAATCTTACATCAAGGGAATGCAGAGCCTCTTAGTTGCAGTGGAAACATGAACTGACAGGACAAATGCAGTGATATACAATACTGTAACAATCCAGGAAGAAATCTTGATTGTCACTTCTTCTTGAATAGCACAATCATATCTGAACTATTCTTTAGACTGCGGACAGCTTTTGGCGAGAAAAAAAAAAATGGAACCATGCCTGGCTCATAATCAAACCAGTATTCCTCAAGAATCCCTTAAACAAATGCTTGCTGCAAGAAAGACTGATGGAGGGTGGCTGGGCTGAGAGGCTGTTTTGACAATAATGCAGCGCTACTGCTGGTTAAACCAATATCTGGTTAAGCCTCAGTTTAACCAGATATTTTGGTTCTTTAATCCCCATCTGAGCTGTGGATTAGAAAAGATTGATTTAATCATCCAAGACAGGTGCGATCTCCTAAACTAAGGCCTAGTGTACACTAGGGAGGATTTTCAAATCGTAACCGATCTTAAAAATGTGGGAGGCCACAGTTATAAAGACAAATCTTAACCGAATTTTAATATTTCAGTATTAAGAATGCACACACCAGAGGATTCAGTCAACAGCGAGGACCACAGATGGTGTTTATACTAAATAATTTCAGTGTCGATTAAAAGGACTTGGATCTCACAGAAACTCATGTGATCACCCGTGACTTCAGAGCAAAATAATCATGAAAGCACACCAGTGTTGTCAGCTTGTAGAAGAGGAAGAAGCTTTATTTTATCATCATTTTAACACCTACAACGAAAACTGTAAATTCTTGGATGTAATCAAGCGAGAAGTACTTAACAAAACAAAAAAAAAAAAAAACAAAACAAAAAAAAAATTCAGGTATGCAGTTAAACAAAAACCTTGCAGGTTACTTTCAACCCAAACAAATCTGCCAATAATAATAGTAATAATAATAATAATAAAAACAATAACAGTGAAGCCATGGCTGAGAACATGGAATAATGGCCTGTATATTGTGCAGCATTAGCTGGAGGTGAATTGGAAAATTGTCCTCCTTTTCAACTGTTTGCCTAGCTCAGCAGAGATTCTTGCAGTTAATAGGCATTTCTATTCTTCTAAACAACATATAATTGATGACACTTCCCGTCAGCTCGCTCCGATAGGCTGTTGCGGGTTTCTGCTCAATATTCCATCTCTTCAACATTACAGGAGTTCAAATTGCAAGTATCAAGCACATTTAATATTTATAATTTAAAATCAGACAGTCTGGAGCATTAAGATTATGCCTGTAGATCCCTAACACAACAGGATCATTTGGGCTGATAATTGGTTCAGACCAGCCTCGAGTCTGGAACGCCTCCAATTGTCAGGAGAGGCAAATTGGACACGAAATCAGCCTAATCATCCCATAATGTGTGCTAGGCATAACTGCAACAACAGTTAACAGTGCTGAGCACCTGGAAACAGGTAAAAGTACAAGAATATTCTGCAAACTGGTATTACTGTAATGCACTTCTAGCTCTACTGCCATTACTAGTAGAGTTTTTATCTCCATAGCTTTGCCTCAATGTTCAAATGACAGTTTTTAAAGCAAGTGTGACCTTCTCCACATTTAGTTTATTCTGTGCAACATAGCAGCATTTCTCAATTTTTTTTCCTACAAATAACAACTGCTTGGCACATTTCAAACAATTAAGTACAGGTGTCTATAATTTGAACAATTAGCAATGTCCTTTTCATCAAATTAGATTTTTTCTTTTCATTTAAACAAATTAAGTTAATTTACATTGGATAAGCATGAGAACAAACCTGCTCCGGAGCAAGTTTGAGGTTGTAAACAATTTGCCAGGACAACAAGTTCTATGAGACTTTTTAAGAACCAACAAATCTGGCTTCATGTGGAACTTTCAAAAAAGTTATTCCACATATGAAGAATATCCTGCAGGTGTCTCAAATGAATTCAGTGAGGAAGGGGCCTCCTGAGCTTCTGAAAATCATCCGATGTTCTGCTCCCTTGTGCCCAATGAATGCTACAACAAGTTCCAATACATCAGTGGTCTAAGGCATGTTTTGTACCACCATTAACAGCCTTTGTTCTTCTTCAAATTTTCCAATTCAGAGGCTGCAATTTAAACCACATTTCTCTGCCTGAGCATCTTTCCATTACATGTGATGTAGCTATAATAGTGTTATACAGGAGTGCAAAGCTGAACAGGGTTTACAAATTCAAGTAAGAGACACAACATTCTCTTAATTGTAGCTGACACTAAAATGTGTACAACTGAACATAGGAATTTAAAAAAATTAGACACAGGGCAGAGAAAACCGTCAGTTAACAATTAGTGAAACGCTCTTGAATGGTCTGGCAATTTAGCTGCAGCGCTTTCCCAGGTCTTGGGTACAATTCTCCAAAAGCACTTAAACATGAACAGAGCGACCCAAAGTAATAAATGCCGCAAACCAAGATAACTGTCTGCATTAATGTGATGTTAGATCATGCAAACCTCTGCAGAACAAGACCAAAAACATGGCAAACTTTTTCATTATGCTCTGCTAACATCCTCGAAACAACATAATGTGACAAATGACTGGCCTAAAAATGGAAGACACTTAACAGCTTGACATTATAGTGCACAATTAATAAGAATTACAACCAAACCAACACATATATGGGAAAACATTTTTTGATAGAGAACTTAAGAATTTTCCTCCAGGAGGAAAACAATGATTTATTTGTCCAGCACTTCAACTAGTGTCTGTGTGTACTGAATCCTCCCAAAAAAGCACGAGACCACCCAATCAAGGGGGAAGTGCCAATAAACTGCCAGTGAGTGGTTTTATTGTTGCGAAACGGCTCTTTTCATGTGGTGTTTGCATTTCAAAACTGCAGCTTTCTGTCCTTTGAAGCCTGAACTGTTTGTTTGGTACCGTCTTAATGTGACAGAGTCTGTTCATTCTCAGCAATATGCTCTTTGTCTTCCACATCATTACAGATGCCTGCTCTTAACCCATGTCCACCGTGGTTCACATAAGGACAACGTCCCTCAGAGTTCTTCTGGAGAAGCTGCTGACAGCAATTTTGATTCCATGTTCACACATTTTTAATTTATTTCTAGTGCCCCTTTTATCATAAAATTTCCTTGATAATGATAATAAACAAATGTGCAATTTTTGATTGATAAATGTGTCTGCGCAACTCACTGTACAGCAATCCTGTTAGACCACAGCACTAAAGCAACATAGCTGACACATGTGGGACCAAAACAAGGAAAGCACAATGAGCAACAGTGAAAAGGACGGCTGCACAGGACAAAGAAAAGTGTAGATAAAAGCAGTCACACAACATCGCTACTCTGGAAATCGATTGGATTTTTAAAGCTGGATAAACAATGACATGTGATGTAAAACATGCTGCAACCAATGACCACAACATCAGGAAACAATGAACAACAAACATTTTACTCCATTATAAAAGGTAACACTACTTTCCCAGTGTGCAAAGTCAGTTCCCAGACTGCAGTGTTTGCAGCCAAGCTCACTAAAGTTAAACCTCTTACCATTAGTTCAAACCCCAGCAGCACCACTCATCACCTTTTCACTCATTACCAGACATAATACAAGCTCAAAAAAAAAAACAAAAAAAAGAGCCAGTGAGTGCAATTTCATATTTAGCGAAACATGTTGACATCAGTTAGAACAATGGAAAGTCCGAGCTCGAAGTGAAAGTGGCTGACTCCACAGGCATGTAGCTCAGGTGAAGCCAAAATTCTGAAATGCCTTGATTTACATGGCAAAGTGGCCAGGTATCAGCCCTGCAAGGCCATAATGACCAGTCCACAATGTGATATTGCCTTTCACACACAGTGCATGTTAGGAAAGATGTCGGCTCTCCTTGCTGCTATGTAAGGAACAAAATAGGCCTCTTTCACTGCAGGAGCCTACCAATCCATAACAGAACCTGTACCACTTGTCCCTGAGTCTGCTCTTGTATCTACTGACCTGAGCCTGCTTTAGAGCCCAGTGCCTGATGCTAAATTTCAGAAACCCTCAGGAGGGTCCAGGAACTCACAGTGGGAGCAGTGGGTGCTTGCAGTGTTGTTGCCCCTGACTGGTTAAAGCGTTGGTACACTAGATATTAGCATTACAAGCATGATGAGCATGATGTGTGAACATACACTCACTGTTTTAGAGGTAAAACAGAACCTCAGTTGTTGGTTTAGAGTTAAACTGGGAACTTTAGCAAGTTGCCCACAAAGAAAGTGGATAAGACATTGTGTTTCTGCAAATTTGTGTTCTGCTTGTTCAACAGCTGCTTGATAAACTGATCATAAAAAGTCTCCATTACTGGTAGATCTTGTTGCACCATAACGAGCACTGTGATTGCTGATTCGACACTCTGCTCAGCTGTGTCGATGAGCAAGTCAAGGGGACATGGTAAGTTCAGACTCTCAGTAATAACAGGAGGACAGAATGCTGTCAAAGTTTTTAGACAGCAGAGGTTTAAACTACAAAGCTCAACAAATGACTTCATAAGAGAGTGTTGCTGACATTTATGGATATGGACAAAACCAAGCTGCAATGATCAGGGTATTAGCAGTGCCATGCTTTTAATTTCTTTTCTTATTTTTGTACATAGGAACTGATTTTTTTTTTCTGTGCTCATCAAGAAATTGCTGTTAAACTTTATTAAAATCACAAATTCCAGTTTCTTTTATCTAATTTCATAGCAGATTGTGATTTGTCTTAAATTATAGAAAAGTAAACTCCAGGAAGATGCTTAATTATTTCAACCTACGAGTGAGGGACATTAGGGGCCTATGAGAGAAATGCAGAATGAGAGACAGCACTGAGTTACAGGAGCAACCGGAACAGATGCTACCTCAGCCGTAACATCATAATTTCAGCTTTCTATACCCAACAAGCTTTATGTTCGATGACTACAACAGATGACATGTGAGCTAAGAACTGTCCGACACAGAGTGGATGGTGCTCTGACAGTGCAAAGACAACAACTAAACAAAGCAAAGAGGTGTGTCCTACCCGGGTCTCCAGCTCAGAAGGGAACTTGGTTTGGAACTGGCACACAGTGCCGTTAGTATAATCTCTTTGAATGAAGACTTTGGCAGCAATGGCTGTTTGTTGCCTCATGTCCTGCAAGCTGTGAGTCTGTAAAAAATAGAAGAAAACAACTCCTGAAGCAGACTGATGTATTGGGGGACTACTAATTTAGTCATTCAGTAATCCCAATTGGTTTCTTTAACTGATTAGTCCATCTTAGGAAAAAAATGAAACTTTCATGTTGCTTACTTTAAACATTTACAGAAGACACAGATACGTGACAGTAGGAAAAGCATAGATGTCGGCTGCAACTATGATTATTTTCATAATCTGTTAATCTGCCCATAATTTTGTTAATCTTTTTATCTATATAATATCAATATAACATGATATAGCATGGCATAAAATGCCCATCACAATATTGCCAGAGCTCAAATCCCAAAATATTCTATTTATAGCAGTGTAGCTAGTTAACTGCATGTTATCACTGTTTCAGAAATGTGACCAGACAAATATATTAACACCAAAGAGCATGACAATTGAAGACAGACATCAAACAATATAATACTCGTGTTTGCTGTCAGAAGACCACGGCACCTCGAGACTACTGTGACCTAAATGTCCTCACTTCCGTTACCATGTTTATACTGTCAGGAGACAACGTTTTAACGATGTATTACCCTAATTGTTACCTGCTCGAGATGCAATATGTTACAACATAGTCCAGTTGTATAGGAAGCTATGTGATTAGCACACTGCAAGTTATTCATCCAACACAGCTAGCTGCTATACGCAGCTTGGCTCCTTGTTGGAAGAAAAAACAAACTAATTACCACAATGCCGCATAAATGAGAGGTTCTGTAAACATCCTATCTTGTTGGCAAAGATGCAGCTATCGTTACTGACAAGTAAGAGGCAGCTAACGTTTCCAGGCTAACTTGCCTTCTGTTTATCAGATATGCTCCCAAAAAACACGAAAATGTCAAAAGAAAAAAAATTCAGACATTAGAAAGTCATTGCTGACAAACCTCAAATGTATGAAAGATACATTTCGAAATATTCGTTAACTTACCTCTGCCATGTTGAACAATATTTTATTTATTTATTTTGTCTTCCGCTAGCAGCGTTTTACGTGTACTACGAAAAATCCTTTCCGGGTGGGAACGTCTGTTTAATGACTAAGGTACCGGGTGTGAAAGATGGTTTAAACAAGCCCTTTAAATAGTTTGCAGTAAACCTTTTCAAATGCTTGTAGCCCAACATACGGCGTGTGGTGGAATTTTAGGAAATGTTTATGAATAACTGTTGAACCACTATCAAACTGTCTTTTGTAATAAATTATAGTCCTAAGAGCCAGTGCAACATTTGGCGCCAGACTGTCAGTGCAGGTGCTGAGATTAGTGTCTCAGCATCCGAAGAGAGGCTTGTGGAAAGCCGTGCTCACTGGGATATGTTTTTCAAAGGAGAGATAACCGACCCTGATAACTGACGGGAGTGTTTCAATGATGTTTCTACTTGGTGGAGTCTGTTTCCTTGGTCCAGACTAAATCCTTGATTGACCAGAGTGTGTTTTTTTTATCATATAGTGGAGTTGGAAGGTAACAAATTACATTTAGCTGATTCAAATACTGAACTTTAGACATTTCAAGCTACTCTTATTTTCATTGTATGCAAATTCTATTCCACTCAAATGGAAAATGTTGCATTTTTCCTCCACTGCACCAATGACAGCTATGGCAGATTAAGATTTTAAACATACAATACATTGTTATGTGGGAAATGAAACTCAGTATCCTATAAAACAAATAGAATCAGGGCCACTGCAGTCAGCTACAAACCGCATATATTGCCTACATGTTAATGCATCAGCAATGTAGCCTAATATAAAATTTATTCTGGTGCATTTATACTTTAACTTGTGCATAAAATACGTCAGTATTTTTACACAAGTACAAGTTTGAATGCAGACCTTTAATTGTAAAGTTTATATATCTTTATTTATTTATTTATTTTTTTGTGGTATTTCTACTTTTGCTTAAGTAAATGATCTAAATACTTCCTCTAATGTTTCACATAGATTGGTGCTGTGTGACAGAAACTACTGCAACAGTTTGGCTTTAATAGTTTTGCAAGTTTGCAAGTTTTGAAGTTGAACTGAAATAAACACACACCAGTGGTGATCTGGAAAGTGCGCTAGCATTTCCAAGAACAATCAATTCATCTGACACTGAAGACGGCCTAGCGCTCTAGTGGAGTATCTTCATAAATGGTGGCTAATGGGGTGGTCAGTTATGTTTGTGATTGTTGCTTCATTTCTGCTTTGCTACACTTGCTTAGTGAGCCTTATACACTACAGGTAATTCTCCGTAGCCTAAACCATAGTTTGGTGTCATCACACTGTGGCAAAGTGCCCCTATAGGGGTAATGTAGACATTTCCCCATAAAGTTGTAGCATGGATTTAAAAATGTTTTTGTAATCTTACTTGACATAAAATGTTATGCTAAGTAGGACCAGTAGGTGAAAACAGAGTGAATGTCATAGTGTTACATAAAATGATCAAGATCATTTATGTCATTTGAACACATCACAGACTCAACATCTCAAGATGTTGAGTCATTCTAAGCTGTCCATGGTGTTCCTCATTTTGAACTTCTTGTAAGTTAAATTATACATAGTATTCAGATTATGGCCATGATTATATAATAATAATAAACATACTGTGGCTTGAAACATTTCCGTTTAGGAACAAGAAGGCGTATTTGGGTAAAAGGTTCACAGGTGAGGTTCACAGACTCCTGAGGGCTCAGGATGCAGCCTTTAGGGCCGGCGACACTGCAGGCCTAGCAACAACAAGAGCCAACCTGTCCCGTGGAATCAGGAAGGAAAAAAGTCAATACAACAACAAAATATCAGGACACTTCAGCAACACTAGAGATGCACAGAGTCTCTGGAGGGGCATCCAAACCCTCACAGGCTATAAACCCCCACCTCGGAGCTGTGATAGTGACATCTCTCTGCTGTTGATATCCCAATTATAACTAAATAGAACTGCATGTGTCACTACTTTTTCACACTGATCACTGTTTGTACCTTAATCAGCCTACATCAAATCCCATACACTAACCACACAAACATCTAGACATCGTCTGCACATCTTCATGACTGATCACACTTTTCTTTACTGTACAACATTTTCATAGCGTTAAATAAGAGACTGACGGTATAAGCACATCACTACACAAACCCAGAAGCCACAGGAGATGATAGTTTATTTAGCTGATTATAATCCTCAATAACATTTCAAAGTTACATGACTTATATTCTAACTTTTTACAGCCTAATGTCACCTCTTCAAAACCATTGCCTGTCTGAATGAATTCACAGATGACAGCTGACAGGTCTTTAAATTGGCAAATACGATCCCATTGTGGCTTCAACAGCTCTGAATTTATAAACCCGACGGTCTAAAAACTATGGAAATATTTTGATCCGGCCTCAACACTGAAAACATGCTACCTTAACCATCCACACATACACATCGGGTCGACATTAACGTGGTGCACGCACATACAAAAGTTTTAGCATTTTTCAAAAAGTGGCCCAGTCGCCATCTTTGTCCTATACTTTCAATGCTAAACTCTACGACTTGCACCGATCAAAAAAACAAATTTTTCTCAAACACGACACAAATATTCATGCTTTTTTAAACCTGCCATGTGCCCTCTCAGCAGTTCCAAAGAAAATCATTTAGTCCAAAAGGGTTTTCCGAGGTCAGATATCATTGCTGTTGTGATTGAAGAGTGGTTATACTTTCACCTGATATACTCCTCCTTGTTCTCCTCAGTGACTAAGATGTTCACACCATCAGCCTTGAGGTCATGAGACTTTATCTCCCCCAAGATCTCCATATCTACTGAGAAGAACATCTCCAGACCACACTCTTCAATGTTGTTGTCTCTGAGGAGACATGAGGTTGTGTTACTGTCACATAACAGCTGTACCAGATACAGTGACAGCCTGTCTGAACATGGCCTAACACATTACGTTAAATATTTACTTAGCAACTTATTTGATTAAACCAGACAGAAATGCACACACACAAAAGTTTAACTGTCTACCTGTTCAGAGCAATCAAATCAAGGACCATTAGATTCAAGAATAGTTTTTACCCAATAGCAGTTACCACACTCAATGCTGCTAAAATATAATATGCCTGTGTGTGTGAGAGGTCTGTTATTTCATTTTTCTAGCAGCTAAGTTTTTTATATGGTCTTATTTCAACGTTATGTTTTTTTCTATTCTATTTTTTCGTTGTACGTGTTACAATGACAATAAGCACAGGTCACTGTACGCCAAGACAACCAGACACAAGGACAGTTTCTTCCCCGGGGCCATTACTCTGATGAACACTTGACCATGACAGTATGACTGGACAATAACCCTCAGTGCAATACCTGTAAATATATCTCGTACAGATTATACAGATCCGTACAGGTCTCTATTTTTAAGTACTCTATTTTTATTCCTATTTATCTCATTTCAATGAACATTCCTTTGTCTGTCTGCCTGTTTATACTGTTTATTTTGCATTGTTTGTTGCTTGTTAATACTGCTTATTTTGTTATACTACAGCGGCATCACTGTCTGGTATGGCAGCACTACTGCTATCGACCGCAAGTGCCTGCAGAGAGTAGTAAAAACTGTGGAGAAGAGTTGACAGGACTCCACTGCCCTCTCTGCAGAGCATCTACCACTGCAGAGTCCGCAGAAGAGCTGCCTCCATCCTCAAAGACCACACCCATCCCCAGCATGGACTGTTTACACTTCTACCCCAGGCCAGAGGTTCAGAAGTGTGAAATGCAGGACTTCTAGATTGAAAAACTCTCTTTCCAACTGCCATCAGACTCCTGAACAGCTGACAGGAGTTTACAATTGCCAGGACCTGTACAATGATCTGCAAGTCAGTGTACATAGGCAAATAATAACCTCTTACTCAATAACTGAACATGTGAACGTACAAAAACCAAGAGGGTTCTCACACATTTGTGTTATGCAGATTTTGGAGGAGTTTCATAACATCTTGGGCCCAGAGCTAACAAATGTGACTGATGATCCAAAATTCAGTGATGAAATGCTGCGCACAATCGATAGTCTGGTTTTGCCTATTAAGGAGGGTTGTTTTAATCCTTTTAGCATCTGTAAGATGAGCAGCTGGAGAATGGTCATGCAAGACTTTGACTCTGCAGTTCAGGTGAGTTCAGGAAAGTCAGTATACCAGCGCTGTGCTTATAAACATGCTTGAATGATCCTAAGCCCCAAAACCTGCCTGTCCAACGTACTGTGGCTTTCTTCTTCTTTTTTCACTTCTAAGTTTCCATTCACCGTGAGCTCAGCTCCGTCACCTTCACTAATATCTTTAATGTTGACATACTGTAATATCCCCCATGGGACTGTGGGAATGTCTGTGAGACTCACTAGTAAATTTATATCACTGTCCTTTATGGCACTTTATTTCCTTATGAAATTATGTCACATATTTTTTCACCTATTGTTTTGATGTCTTTACAATATTATTTGTTACAAGTGTAGTTATTTTTCCTGTGGAAACAAACCAGTGGTGTTCTTGTTTCACACTAGAGCTCTTTGTCACTCAGAATTATACTTAAAGTACGTCTCTGCTATGATGTGTTTAGGGTCACATGAGGACCAGTGCCTTTCTGTGGGGTTTCTGATGCAGGACAGTTGCACAACAGTGGGTCTTCACATACTCAAAGCAGCTGCTCTGCACAGACCATAAGCTGCCGTGCATGCTGCCTCACTACACTTATGATAAGGAGCTGACAGGCAGACAACACAACTCCACTGTAGCTCAACTGCATCACAACAATCTGGACAATCAAAATTCTTACCAACAGTCTTCATTTTATTCAGTGTGAATAAAATGAAGACTGCCAAACAAAACACCCTCAGACAGACGTTATCCAGCCCTCTGTTTATATGGAAATGGTCTAAACTGAGAAATCAAGGAATGCTTAGATGCTCAGACATTACTGCACTGAAGGATGCAAAAAGAGGATGTAAATGAAATGAGGATCTAAGGCTAAAAGAGGTCACACATGCACAGTTGAAAGTGAGGAAATATTAGAAATGGGAACTAGGGTAATTCACATGTTGCCTTCTAAAACCTAAAGAGTAAAATCACTT